TTTCATAGAAGTAAACTTTATGTCCTACGAAATATGTTCAAGTATTTTCTCTCAGTGTATCTAAGAAAACCGAATTTTCTTTTTAATTTAAAATTCTTGATTGAAATGCCAGCTCACTAGAATTTGAAATGTATTTTGAATTTGATGCTTATGATAAACTCTTGTGTGATTTGCGGATATATAAACTCACGAAATACTGGAAACAAGTAATATTTCAAATGCAGTACGTATTTTTCTGGGTGTATGCTATCGATTCTGCATAATCAGCGCCTATGCGCATATTTTCGTAACGCCCGGCAAAGTGGCATCTTATTCCTGTATGAATAATTTTCGCGACATTGGGAATCGCACACACGTGATGACCACCATTTCACCTTTTATGGGCGCTTAGCATTATCCGGCAGTTATGCCAATGACATTATTTAATGTTCAAGGCTCTCACACGAGAGAGCAGAAGGAGCTGATTCCCAAAATCGAGAGGATAAAGTTCCTAGCAAATGTTTTATTCCCGCAATAACGATGGCTCATAATAATCGATCAATCGTGAATCTGTTCGAGATTTTTGCGACGAGAGCGCACGTCAGGATTAATATTATAATTCAGAAATTCGCCCGACGAAATTATGCATTCTGCATAGCTGAACGAAGAGAGTCGCGAACACGTAGAAATGCTGGGACCCATCTGTTACGCAACGTCACGAGCTGTGCACAAGCGCGACGAAAACGTGGGGGGGAAGTCGCAAATTTCAATCGCGGTGTTGCTTTCCTCGGTGCGATTTACTGGCGAGAGTCGGTAAACACTCAACACACGGACATTGATTGGCGTCGCTTTGTTCCCTCGGAAATGAGGTACGAGAGTGCCACACGGTAGCTCACAAGCCGGCGGAGAGATTGATTCAAGGAATTCCGACATTGTAGCAATCTGTCATCGCGCACAATTAAGCCGTCACAACGGTATTTACGATGGATGCACGTTCGCATCGCTCACGTCGTCCCACTGAAAAAGAGAGGATTAATTACACGTATTCTCCCATTGAGTTGTGTCGGATATAGACTACGGTTCTTTGCAAAACGTTGCGAAGCAGTCATTCTCGCGACAGCAGTGACGGCCGGTTGCAGGAATGCCAATGTGTTAAATACAATCGGCACATAATTCAGTAATCGATGACACTAAAGCCTGTATTAATAGTTATTACTTGAAATTTCACTGCAAATTCAAGTATGTTATTTTAGCTAAATCCCTTTTTATATGTTCCTTAATGTTTTAAGTTACATCATTTAGCACATTCAAACGTATTAAATTATATTTTACATCTCTTAAACGCATGTTAAATAACATAATTTAAAATCGTAAAAAATGTGTAAATAAAACTAAATCAAATGCTTATCTGTTTAAAAATAACACACTTGGATTTACAATGTTGTGCATTGTGAGATACTCAGATATGACATCAGAGTTAGATTTTGACACTTTCATGTGAATCATGTAATATATGTAACATTTGTAATCAGCTGAAAGACTTCCAATTCCAAAGTTGGGTATTAATTGATCAAAATTTTCTTTGATTCTAAAATCGGCTAATCAATAATAAAAATTAATTAATTGTCATATATGTAACCACGAATAATTCTATTGATTGATGAAATTAATTATTAATCAATGTATAATCAATCATATCTCAGAGAGCACAATTTACCAAAAGACGTTCTTTAAATATCTTATGGACGTCTTTAAAATATCTTTTAGTAATTTGTGTTATCTGGAATTAAAGTTTGATTAATAATTAATTTTATCGTTTGATAAAATTATTTGTGACTTTATGTATGACAATTTATTAATTTTAATTATGAATTTGCCGATTATATTTCAGTCAAGGAAAATTTTAACCGACTAATGCCCAACACTGTTAACACTAAATTCAAATCTGAGTATCTCAACTGAGGCGAGTTTTCATTAACAACTATTTTAATACACGTCTAAGTATGTAACATCCCGGAAGATTATATCGATTAATTCAGTAAGAGCTATCGGCGATTAACGTACGCGATAACAATTGACGCCAGGAGGAGGGCAAGCATAATGAATTTAATTGCAGCTACGTTACACAGGATAAGGATTTCATTCAGAAAATCTCGGCGCTGAGAACGGCTGAGCCGCATCATTCAGAAACGGTTTTGCCTGAGTAATGGCTACCGGCAGTGACATAACGCGGCGCATAGTATCGCCTCAGAAAAACAAAGATTTCGACCGCGTTGACCTCGTCGTCGCCACGACGACGTGTCCTTCTCGCTTTCGTTCGTGGAGTCGGAGAGACCGTCGGCGGTGTCTCTGGTCTCTGAAAAACGTCCGCGAAAAGCGGGTTGCTGTCGCGATAATTCTTCTTGAACGCTGTGAGAAATCTCGTCTCTTTTATTTTCACATTGAGGGAAAAAGAAGAAAAGACGGCCGCGGCCTTTCGCGTTCGAGTAAGACACACTCGTTCTCAGGCAAGGTCGATGTCGTAATGCACGACTCGTGCGGACGAACCTCGTGTCTTTTTTTCCGTACGTGTACGAATTATCGACCAGGTGGCAATAATTACAAATAGGTCTTACTTAATACAGAGGGAGAGAGGAAGAGAGAGAATAAAATATTTCAGTAATTGAATCAATTATTTCGTAAGACACTATCTTTTTAATTATAAGTATATATATAAATAAGTATATATTCAAGTATATTTTATATATATATATTTCTTTTTTTATATTTTAACGATGGCTTGCCGCTGTAATGCATTTTTACACTGCAGAAAATACTTGAGAATTTATTTGTGGGATATAAAGTTTATTTTTGTGAATAAATTTTTTATATCCTACGAATGAATTTTCAAGTATTATTTTCTTAATGTATTTATTTATTGTATATAAGTATTGTATCTCCTCTCTTTGTCTATTGTATAATTTAAATAAAATATTAATGACACGTTGATTCATTTAATGATTGTGAAAATTCAAATAGATTTTCTTGCCGATTTTTTTCCCTCTTCAAATCGGTTTCTTTGTTTATCGATTTTTGCGCTTGTCTCTCGATGCTTAGCCGAGTCGATTGACATAGACATTAACGCAATTCTGTTCTTCTATGCATGTTTCACTTAAAAAAATTTTGTAAATAGCGAGCGGGAGTAGAAGCGAGCGAGCACGTCGGCAAAGAGAAGAGCAAGCAGAGAAAGCATGTTCGGGCGTTGAAGTCTCCGACAGATTCCGTTATAGTGTCTCCCTTCTCGCGATTAATCATCTTGGATTGCAATTTTATGGCTTGCGCACGTCGAAGTTAATTTTGCTGACATAACGTCTCTATAATGCCATTTTTGCAACTATCTGTTATAACGCGCAGGACTTGCAGAATACTTCGCTCGCATGAAGCTCTATCGGCTAGACTCGCAATCGAGTCTTTTCTAACGACTCTGTTTCGAAAGAACCTAATATCGATCCTACTCTTTGATTCATCCAACTCACACAATTGCTAATGATTCGGATACTGTGCTGCAAATCATCTATTGTTTAAAATATCTACTTTTTATTCTGGCAAACGTTCCGTCGCGCCTCGACGGCAAGGACGGCTTTACGAAAACGAAACAACGATGGATTCGCGGCAGCCGATTTGCAGGCAACTCGTAAATCGTGGAGCAGCGGAGCGCATTTCCTACCTATTTGCCAGAGTAATATAACGTGTCTAACGTTTATCGAGATGGTAACGAAGAGTACACGCGATCATGCGGTGTGTGCTTGTTTCGCAAACGGGTTCCTCGTACGGAGCGATTCATCCTGGAATTTTTCAGAATTATGCAAACGCCGCTCGAATAACACGTCTCCAGCAACAGCAATCTGATCGAAATTGAATGACGATTTGAATGTAAAATTTGCCAGTTATATCAGAATGATTCAACTCATAAAATTAGGATTTTTAAGCTTTTGTTACTAATTGGTAGTGTATATGTCTTTTTATATAAAACATAAAAAATCCTTATGGGCTAAAATTAATTAAAAACATTTTTTATTTCCTATTAGTTGTACCATTTTTTACTAATTGCGTTTTTTTTATTCATTTTTTCAAGAGTTAAGCTTAGAGAAAACAATATTGTAGAATTTATTTGTGGGATATAAAATACTTTTATGAAATAAAGCTTATTTCTGTCAAATAAACTTTATACAATTTATTTCTACAATTTATTTATTTCTACAAATAAATTTGTAAATACTTTTTTTCTCAGTGTATCAACGAATACACTGAGAAAAAAATACTTCAAAATTTATTTGCAGGATATAAAGTTTATTTTATGTAAATGTTATTTCATAGAAGTGAACTTTATAACTCACCAATAAATTCTCAAATATTTGTTTCTGTATATCTTTAAAAAAAAGAAAATTGACTCTGACTTCTTGAGCGATTGCGAAGAGAATGCTATGTATATTCTTTAAATATCAAACTTTCATCTTTATTTTTTTCGAAACCTATTTCACATGGGTTGGATTATTCTTTCATAATTACGACTAATTTATCTTTCGCTTCAGAGAGAAAATCCGCGAATCACGAGTTCTCTATTTGAAGCATCGGAATCCTGCGTTTAGATATTCAAGAGAATTTCTAACTCTGGATTTCTCGACTCTGGATTTTTCGAACCGCGAGGCACACTCAGGGGCATTAGCCGGGCCATTCTTTGGTGACGTCACGATTGCATCGTGCATGTCGCGTGCATCATGAATTTCTGAGGACGTCGCGGGCGATGCAATGCCAACAGGTTTCTCGGGGGAATTATGCAAATGGTCAATTTAGGCGTCGCGAAAGGTCAAGACGAATTTTGGTGGAAGACACTATTCCCCCTACCCTCTTACTTTTTCTCTCTATCTTTCCTCCCGCGCGAGCCGGACGGAACCCAGGTTTTTTCTCTCTTCTTTTTTTCGAGTACCATCGCGATCAAGGAAAGTGGGGTCTACGGTTTCGTATAAAAACGCATTCGACTCTCATGGCGATCACACTCGAAATCTCATCACGCTCCATCGGACCAGGAAGTTCGAAACACACTCAACAAAATGAAATTCCTCGTGAGTTCTTCATCTATCTTTAGTTTAATCTTCGGCAATTCTCACTCACAGAAAAATGTCATTTCGGTACTGAGAAAAACAATCATTCGGCTTACTTTCTTTTGTCTTAAGTAATGCTTATCTTCAACAAAGAATATTTTCCTGATAACAATCTTCAAATATAGTTATTATAAATTTGAGAAAGGTTCGTTATCGTGTACTCAAAAGAAGAATTTATTCTTTTTACAACAATATTGTAAAACTTTATAAAAGAAAGAGTCGTTGACTCCACCGAATTTTTATTCTAATTTATTCTTGATTGAAATGCTAAACTTAGTAGGACTCCGGATGTATTTTAAATAAATTTGACGTAAATTTTATAAACATACGATACATTTGCAGATATACGAACTCACGAAATATTTGTGACAAGTAACATTTACTTGAATGCAGTATGTATTTTTCTGTGCGCACGAGCCAATTAATCCGTCAAGTTAACGTCATCAAATCAATACCGATCCGTAGACGTCGGTCAAAGTTAATCGAGATTTAACCGGCTATTCGTCTGTTTCTTACAAACATTTTCGTAACACTCGCTAAATCTTCGTAACTTTAGCTTAATCTAAACCGACATTCATGAAGCTCTCCGCCTGTCACGTTCTGTCACGAATGCGCGAACGTTCACTCGCGATAATATTTTCTTGGACTTCCCCGATCGTTACGAACAATAGCTCGTTACGAACCCGTGAACTAACTAACGTCTGACTAATTTATTGACTGGAAAGAATGGAATTAACTGTAATAACGGATCGAACGCTATGAACTAATAGGGAGGCTCGTATTAGGAAGCGGCGAATCTTTAATTACACACCACACACGTATTAACTCGCTTATCTCGAGATTATTTAACATGTACATGATATCTGATCCTTTTCGCAGATCGCCGCGAGACCTGTAATTTTTTTCGCAGCGCAATGTTGAGCGCAAAGTAGTGACTTTTTGCCTTCTGTACTTTCCGACTGATTACATAATCGATTTTATATAATCTGCGTAAAACAGCCTCGTCATTTAATAAACGACGCAACGTCGCTTGATTGAGGAGCAGCCATGAGCTTTTTTGACATTGCATAATACAGAGCAATTTCCAGCATAAATCTTTTCTCTTTCTCTTCTATCAAGTACTCATCACAAGCATCAAATTCTTCTTTTGAGTACACGATAATGAGCTTTTATCAAAGTTGTGTTGAGTATATTTGAAGATTATTATCAAAAAAATATTCTTCGTTGAAGATAAATTATTTAAAAAAAGGAAAGTAAGCTGATCGCTTTTTAGCAGTACACCGATATTTTTCTCTATGTATTATACCGAAAGTGTCAAAATTCAAAATTTCGGATTCTCAGTAAGGAGATGTCGTTTTCTTTTTACTTTTATTATTCTACTGAGAAAAAATGTTTGATCAAAAATTACTATAAACTATGATAAAGAAAACTATTTCTTTTATTTTAAATTCTACTATTATATTACTGATAATAATCTTATATGCACGCTATTACTATTTTACTAAAAAAAAAAAAAAAAAA